CACAGGATAATTGAAAGAAAGTTCTTGTTGAAAGGCTGTGGCCATGGTAGAGATTATATAGGCCCTTCAAGTTTATTGCCCAAATTCTTTAACCACTTTTTTTTTATCCTTGGTGTGCATGGAAAAACTGTGGAGCCAGTGTTTCTTTTGTATTTATTCTCAAGAAAAGGCTCTAATGAATGCCACTGCATGGGACCCTGTGCTAGGCTACAATGTAAGATGTAGACTTGGGAAAAAGATAATAAAAACCAAGCACAACCCTCCACAATTCCTGTCAGGAAGTTTATAAGCAAGGAAGCACCTTAATAAAACCATGTGAAACTGAGGCATGAGATTGTAGTTTTAAAGAGAATATTGATAACTGAATACAGTATGATGTGTGTGCTCTAATATACCAGAATTGAGATTCTGAGCTCTCTGAATGTGTTGTGTATGGAGTCAAAATACTTGAGCGTTTCTAAGTTTAAAGGGGCAATAAAATTAGGCACAGGAGCTGACTGCTGAACAGTTTTAACTGCATAGCTGCAGCACCTCTAATGAACTCTCAGTTGTGTAGCTAGTTGCAAGTGGTGGTTTGTTTAGATTATGGAATTGAGTCTCAAAGCAGCTTTTAATCACAAGCAGTGAAGTTCCATATTTCAGGTTGGGTATGATGCTACAGGAAGCTTTCTTAATTTGCAAACAAGTGAATTAAGCAGAAAAAGAACAGTGCTTGTACTTGGCAATATGAGCTTAGCATTGGCAGTAGAGAAGGATGAGGACCACATAGCTGCTGCAGTTCTCATTGTGTTCTTATACTTGTGAAAGGCATTGTTCATTGCCACACTTCTTGGGATGGTGGATTGCTTGATTAATGGTACTTCAAATTTAGATTTTGCAGCTAGGAAGTTAGCTTTGAATTGATGGCAGAACAACTTACCTAAAAAGTGTACCTCATGACAATAAATACACTCTAATTTTATATTCATCTGTTCTGCTGCGAGTTCTGCTCAGGCCCTTATAGTCAGAAGGAGGTTCTTTGACACCAATCAAATTCATCTGCTAAACTTGACACTTTAATGTTGTTTACTAAGAAAGTCTCAGAAGAGGAACCAAAAGATAGTTGAGTTGCTTAGTATTTGTGATGGTAGGTGAAAGAGAGTTTATTTCTCCTATCTTCTCAAATGGAATGTAATTTGTAGGTTCTGCTGTTACCCAACTTTGTTTCTATCTTACTGGCTTGATGAGGTATTAAGAAGGGGTTTGAACAATGGACCTGTTCACACAACTAGTTTCCTTCCATTTGCTGTAGTCATTAACGAGAACTTTAAACGTATAAATAATGCATGCCCCAAAGTCTTAGTTTTGATACAGCCATTACTTTTATATTCACCCATTAAAAAACCCCTCATGCTGCCCCATGCAATACATTACACTCACTCTGTAAAGAGTGTTTGTAACTGTTTTTTTAAAAACATAATATGTTTTTCAGATTATGTTCTCTTGCAGCTCAGTTGAAAACTTATTAAATAAAAATGTCATGCATAATGGACCCTCTGCCTCTGAAAGAAATTTAAGAAAGCTTTTTTCCCCATGAAAGTTACCAGCTGCCTCAAGAGGTGCAGCAAAGCAAGTAATTTGTGCAACATTGTGAATGAAAATGCGACTCTTTAAAGCATTTGTTTTCTGTGCTCAAGTGTTACAGTGGGGCACTGTTGTGCTGCATTCACAGCTCATAACGTGCACTTTTAAAGCCTCGAAAGAAATTGATTGTAAATATAGATGATCTGGTGAAGCTGTTCCTGGCAGATGTCATGATTACTTGTAAAACCTTTCAAAAATTAGATGCTGAAACGACATCAAATGCAAGCAAATGTTCTAAAGGTGATTTATACAATTCATTCAGAAATTTTAAAACCCGACAAGAGTTGCAATTTCTACAGGAAAAAGTTTGGTTTCTGTGTAAATGCCTGAACCTACTGTGTTGTGACCTTAGATAACTCCAAAGAAAGGAGCACCTTTAGTCTACAACTAGTTCCTGAAACTTTGAAGTACTACTTTGTTTTCTTAAGAAAAAACAAAAGCTGTAAAACTTCAGTAATTTTACCTTCTGGAATGAACTTTTGAAAGGCCCATAATGAGATAAATTCTGTGTCATTTCTACATTTCAGTTTGTTGCAAGGTAAAAATCGAGCAGGTAAAAATACACTTCAGCAGGAGTCTTGAAATCCTCATGGGTGGCCAGAATGGATTTACAGTAAAAGCTGTTAGAGTTTTGAACTTCAACAGTCTCATTTTTCCGTGGTTATAGTAGAAGCATGTATGTGGAAAGTTTTTTCTTTAAGAAGTTGGAACAGTTTTGATCAGATCTCTTATGATGCTTCTGGATTACTTGTTGTTTCTAAGATCATAGTTTACAGGACAGGGTCACTTATAAAACCTCTCTTGAAACTTGCCCTACAAATATTAGTTACGGCAAAGCGCCATTTCGATAGAACTGTTCCAGCTTTCTTTGCTTTTAGTTAGCTTGTTTATTCCATGAGCATACTTGCGGATAAATGATGTTGAAATGATATAACCAGTAAAATTTCAGTCCTAGTTGCTGCGTGTTACTGTGTTCAAAATACTAAAGAAATAACAAAAGAAATAATAAAAATCAGACATGATCACAGAATGACAGATCTGTAAACTGGATTGCATGATACAGGTGGGACAGCTGTAATGGAATAGGTCAGAGTGGCAACTGCCAAGAGGCATTTCTTGAAGACTTCTGAGCTCAACTGAACTATAGGAATTTCCAGTGTGTGTTCTGCCTTGATGATTCTTAAGATTCTTTGAAAGCATAGCTGAGAAACAGAAATAGAACTTTTTAATTGTCTTTCTGCTGCTCTGAGATTCTAGGTGGGTTCATTTCCTCTTTTTAGGGGTGTGAGCAACTGCTGATATCTTACAGCTAATGAATGTAAGTAGGGCTTGGGAGTAAGATAATTGTGGCTGTAAACAGCTTTTACTTTTTAGAACATTAAACTTTTATCCTCAGTAAAAGAATAAATTTAGTCTGTGTTCTTGGCCAAGTTTATCTCCCTTTATGTATTTCCTGTTACTTTGAAGGGTGCAAAGGTTCTCATGTAATAGTTCTTGGGAACTAAACTTATACTTAAAGTGCAGACATGTCCTTATTTCTGAAAGAAGAAACATATAAGGTGATAGATAATTGTTTGGGGTTTTTTAATTTTCTTTTAGCAGTACCCTCTTGTAAGGACTTATTGAAGCAGTGACAGACTTCTGTTCCTTTATATTTTTTCATTTTGTTTAAGGGAGCTTAGGAGAAAAATCTTCAAACACTTTTGTGGTTTGATTTGCTTTTCCCAGTTTTTTCCATATTATTGAAACTAAGCTGAGTAATCAAAGGAGTACCAATGGGATTAAGCTACTGTGTGAAATAAATTGACTTTTTCCTGTAAAAGGTTTTTATAAGTTTATAAACTTACCCTCTTCCTTGTAGCCAAGTGTCCTTGGGTCTATTCCCTGTTTTCCTCACCTTTCACCTCTCTAGCAGAATATCTGGGATGGTTACATGTGGGATGTTACAAATGCTTTGTCTAGGGATGTTTAGTGTATCTTTGGCTGATGATGCTTAATATATGGTTCTGTTATAGGAGAATACCCATCCATGTGTCTGAGTGAGCTTGTAAATGTGCCGAGACACTTAGAAAAGCCTTATCAGATGACTTTCAGTTAATCAAAGATGGGAGGAAAAAAGATCCCCTTGATTAAAGGCAGCAATCTAAGAGAAGTGACACAGAGGTACTTAATTCTTCCTTTCCCCCACACAGACACCTTTTTCTCTTATGTGCAGATTTGGTGTCTCAGGGTATGGTAGGTGTTCTAATTCACCAGAAGTTGAGAGACAATGTTGTTTGGCAGTCTCTGTAGCAAGAAAGGAAGCATCTTTTGTTATTGACATCCTTTCTCTTAGCTCTGCTCTTGCTTTTTGCCAGCTGCTCATTGTCTATACTTGCTTATTTAGTATTCACAAGGGATTTTACAAGTTCTTATCAGTTCGTTGCCACAGCACATCATTTCCTCTTGTCATCGTTACTCTTTAAATTGGCGGGGGGAGGATTTGCATGAGAGCTGGGGAATGGTAGCAAACAGCACCATTCATGACTGCAGTTTGAGTTGCAGTCTTGTTCTGCTCCCTTCTGAGGCAGCTTGTAGTAAAGGTCACATTTCTAGTACTGACTCTGCCGTGCCTTTTCCCCCCTGTCCTTTTCTGGGGAAAAGAAAACAATTTTCTTTTTTGCCAAAGGCTAAAAATATCCAGTGCTTCAAATATTCTTCTTAAAAGATACAAGGAAGTGCAGCATAAAAATAGCCAGGGCTGAAAAGGTTGATCACCTTTCTGAGTGGCTGGGGAGGGGTTGGTTTGAGGTTTGTATGGAGTTTTTCTTTTAATGATTTTTGTTTTGGTTACTACAGCTTCTTCCTAAACTTTTTCAGTTCTCTTTAAAAAAACATGGGGTACCTAATGAGAGCTCAAGAACAAGCAGATGCTGAGTATTCTCTGCTTTTGGGAAATGAAGATCCATTTGAGAAGCTGAGTAGTTCTGTGCAGTACTGGCTGTGGAACTATGAGTTCCACCATGCCTCCTCCCAAGTTTAAGTCTTCTGGTGAAGCACTGTGATGTAATACCAGTTTTAAAGGACATTCTCCAAGCCTATCTTCTGGAGGAAACTCATGGATTTTAGGAAAGTTGTTGACAGAAACTGTGCTGTCCCTTTTTTCCCCCAATTGTCCTTTTTACCACTAAGCAGTAATGCAAGAACTGGAAACTGATCACATTTTACTTTAGTTTTGGGGTGAGGTCCTAGTACTTTATGATTTTGTTTTGACACAAAAATCAGGTGCAATGGCTAGAGTTGAAACAGGCATTCTTTTTATAGCTGCCTTTTTTTTTTTTTTTTTACCACATTGTTTACTTGTTTACTAATCACTTGTTAACTTCTCTTTTTAATAGAATTAAATTGGAGGAATCAATCATTATTTTTGATGTGAAGACTTCATCATTGACATCTGTATGTTCATTTGTCAGCCTCTAAGAAATAATACAGCACATCAGTGGCAATAACTGATTTTGATACACACTGACATTTATTTGAAAAAACAAAACAAACCAAAAATCCCAACAGACAAAACCCAACAAACCTTTTGAAGACTTGTGTCAAATGACGTCAATGGCCAGTTTGTTCTCCTTTACTAGCCCAGCTGTAAAGCGTCTGTTGGGCTGGAAACAAGGAGATGAAGAGGAAAAATGGGCAGAAAAAGCTGTTGATGCTTTGGTAAAAAAGCTGAAAAAGAAAAAAGGTGCTATGGAAGAACTGGAGAAAGCCTTGAGCAGCCCAGGACAGCCCAGCAAGTGTGTTACTATCCCACGCTCTTTAGATGGACGACTGCAAGTTTCTCACAGAAAAGGCCTTCCCCATGTAATTTACTGTCGTGTTTGGCGTTGGCCTGATCTACAAAGCCATCATGAGCTGAAGCCATTGGATATTTGTGAATTTCCTTTTGGATCTAAACAGAAGGAAGTCTGCATCAATCCATACCACTATAAGAGGGTGGAGAGCCCAGGTATGTTTGAACATGGCTGTTTAAAACTGGAGCATATCTCTAGGAGCTGCCTTTGTTCACTACCTCCTCCTTCAGCATTGTATAGCAAGTAACGTTTGGTGTATGGGGAATTTGGAAGAGGAATGCTCAAAGTGTACTTTTCTGGTGGGGTTTTTGAGAGGTGTGTTTTCCATTCTGTACCAGCTATTTTACTTTGTGGTAAATCACACTTTTCCCACAGTGTGGGATCCCACAGATCTCTTAAGCCTGCTGCCCTTAAAATTAGTGTCAAAGTCCTCATTTATAAAAAAATGGGAAAGTAGTCATCAAAAGACTTTAACTTATTTGAGAAACTTGTTTAAAACCCCAGTCCTTGGAAGGAAGCTGGTAGCCTTCTTTCACAGACTTACTGTTTCATCAGTGAGTCACATGAATTGAGGAGTTAAAAAAACTCAACACAAAATAATTCTAGGGTGCAAGGGTCCCTACTTGGTTTGCCATTATCAGGCAGCAGAGCTGAATAAAACCAAGAGTGATGGCCAGTTAGAGCAATTTGTGTCAGGTAGCAAGTCTGCAGTTAAGGCCTGTTGCCATGGGAGAAGGTGAGGAGGGTTGTGGTTATGAGTGGGAGAGATGAATTATGTTGCTGTGGAAAGTATAGTCAAAAGTTGCTTCCGTTGTTCCACAAAATGGTTGTAACTCTTCTGCAACTGGCTCTAGGGATCAGATGCTCTGCTCTAGTACTTGAATTTCAGACTCCCAACGCTCTTGAATGTAACAGTTAAAATTCCAGCTTACTAGTAGTCATATAGTATAGTTTTTGTCTTCAGTATGTAGCTATATAGTTTTATATAGTTTGAGTGTAGTAATAGAGACTGTGTTTCCATTTTTACTGATTTGATAATGTACATATACAGAGTTTTGCTGTTCTAAATTGGTACTTTGGTATGTGCCACATGTGGACTATTTATTTTGAAAAAAAGTCTGCTTCCAGTTGCACAAAATATTAATGTGTTTCATCCCTGGTTTTTGTGGGAGTGAAGCCTGGGTCTTCCATGAAGTGTAATGTAGGAAAATGAAGGAGAGGTAAAGGCATGACAGATGAATCTCCTAATCCTCTTTCCACCCCAGCTAGTGTTGAAATTTTCATGACGAGCACATCACTTGTATCTCTTTCCTTCCAGCTCAGTTTTTAATCTAAGTTTCCCTGTTTTTTGGTTTGTTTGTTTTTTCAGTTCTACCTCCAGTGTTAGTGCCTAGACATAGTGAATTCAATCCCCAGCACAGTCTACTAGTTCAGTTCAGGAACTTAAGCCACAATGAACCACATATGCCACACAACGCGACCTTTCCAGATTCTTTCCAGCAGCCCAACAGCACTCCATTCTCCATTTCACCAAACAGTCCCTATCCACCTTCTCCAGCCAGCAGCACTTACCCAAGCTCCCCAGCCAGCTCTGGGCCATCTAGTCCATTTCAGCTACCAGGTAAGTACAGCCTAAATGTCACTTTAATAAAAATAATAGAAATGTCATAATCTGTTGTGATTTAATACCTCAGGAATTTCTGATACTTGCAATAAATTGCTTTTCTATTTGCATTTTGGGGGGGTTTCTGCCTGGTTTTGTCACTGTTGAGAATTAATTTCTATGGTTTTGTTCTTCCAGTATTTTTTTTGTCCCACTCATAGTGGTGAGCTATTTTGCACAGCTTCAGTGTAGAATAATTGGTACATACTTTAGAAGAGTATCTAGCTGACCAAGAAGTTTATTGATGTCAGAGGGAAGATAGGAAAATATAGAGCAGATTTTTTTATAGGAACTTTACTGATTTGGGTGAAAATAGGGTAAAACAACAACTGATAGGGGCAAAGGAAAGAAGCCTCATGGACTCTATTTATTAGTGTGGATTATAAAGCCAAGAAGTTAGTAGATTGAAGAATTTGTTTTTCCAGTAGCTCAGTGGCCTGATCTTTGTTCTTTTTGGCTGCCCAGTCCATTTAGTGGGGTATCCCTCTTGGGTAAGTGCTAATAGTGGGATGGAGGTATTCATGGTGTCAGGAGGGAATTTCTGAAATAGGGAATAATAGGGTGTTGGCACACTGAGTGCTGTGCTGAATGGAGGCATACAGAAATCCACACTTCTGTAATTAACTTAGCCTACAGAAGCAGCAAAAAAAGTCCCTGGTTTAGGCCTTTGTTACACTATGGCAAGTAAAGTCACTTCTACTATTTCTTTCTTTTTGAACATGGAGAAAAGGATATGCAAGGAAGCTAATATTTATGTGGAAAGAAATGGGAATTATAGTCATCTTGCCCAGCTGCAGGAGTGCAGTTGTTAGAGAACAAAGGCAAAAAGAAAAAAGCACATCTCCTAGTTTTCCTCAAGTGTCCAATCTTGTTGCTAGTCCCATAGGTAAGAATCCAGCTATTGAAGGAGGATACTGTAAAGACAGCTGGCTGGGTTGATTTCAGGTTACTTTGAAAATGGGTCCAAATGTTTTAACATCTCTTGTTCAAGAGAATTTGTGTGTATTTACAACTGTAACAAGAATGAATAAATAAATACTCTAAATGGTTGAGGTTTATTCTCTTTTATTCTTATTTTTTCATGTTTGTAGCTGATACTCCACCTCCTGCTTATATGCCCCCTGATGATCAAATGGGGCAGGATAATTCTCAGTCTATGGACACAAGCAATACAATGATCCCTCAAATCATGCCAAATATATCTACCAGAGGTAAGTTTTGTAGCATGCTGTAAAGTTAACATAGTTAGGTTTCTTGCAACTCATGACCACATCGAATGACGAACTTCAAATGGAGCATTAAACCTTGCTGGTAAGTGGAAGCAGCCCTCCAAGGCAAACTGGGGCTGCAACAGAAAGTCTTGAGAAATACAACTTGCCTTCCTTATTTGCATCTCTTGCTTTTCAAGCCTCAGGTGCATAGAATGGCTGACAACAAGGCAAACTTTTTTCATTTCTTGGAATTAGTCTTTTCTGCTACCTTAGCCTGTTGTTGGAATATGTGCAAAGGCTTTGCAAATTGAGTCCTAAAATACCAATTAAACCAATTTTTAAAGCAGCCTGATTTTTGTATAGGTTTTTTTTGTTGAGTACGAGGCTTAAAATAAGAAAATAACCATAAAATGACTAAGGTCTTAATCAGGACTGTTTTTGCCCATCATAACTATTGACTAAGTTATCTGTTGATGTTTTGGAAAATTTTTACAGTCTTAGATGTAATATTTTAACATTCATATAAACTGGTATTTCCATTTTGCTTGCTTTCAGATGTTCAACCTGTTGCCTATGAAGAACCCAAACACTGGTGTTCGATTGTGTATTATGAATTAAATAATCGTGTTGGGGAAGCTTTTCATGCATCTTCTACAAGTGTCTTAGTAGATGGGTTTACAGATCCCTCCAATAACAAGAACAGGTTCTGCCTGGGATTGCTCTCCAATGTTAATCGCAACTCAACGATTGAGAACACTAGACGACATATTGGAAAAGGTAAAGCTTTGTTGTGTTGGGCATGATTAAGAACCTAAATCTTTGGGTTTATTTCAACTTCTGTGTATTGCAAAAATGATTATTCTCAGGTAAGAGTGGTAGAAGCAATCTGTGATATATTGTCTGCTTCTCCAGTATCTGAAGACAACTTACTTAGGTGTAGTTGAATTTGAATTAGTCTAGGATTGCATACATTTTAGTTTGGCACTAATTGAAAAGATTAAATATTACCTCTTCCTTAGCAAACTACATTGTCATAGGGGCTTGTTTGTTATGGTTATGACTGCATGTAGAATTTTGTTTTTCAGCACCAAGGAACATATTGCAGGACTTCAAACAATCTGTGTTATATCAGCTGCTTCAATCAAATTCTTCATACCACTTTGCAGTATATCAAAGATTTTTTTAATGTTGTTGTTCATGCAAGGTATTACGCTGCTGTCTACACTGCTCAAACACCTTGCATGAGTTGGCAGCAGGACTTTGAAGTGCTAATGCAAAACTGCAAGGGCTCATTTGTCTGAGTGAATCCATGGGGTGTGTATGTGTGTGGGAGGGATTCCTTGAGACAGCAGGTTTTGCAAGATCTTCTAGTTTTCCTGTAGTGTTTGGCTGATAGCACATAGAGATGCACACTTTTCATCTTTGATGGAATGTGCTTGGATTATCTTAAAATGTAGTATTCCTTTTCTGAATATCTCCTTTTTTGTGACTAAGTCAGTCCTGAGAAGAGAACCCCACTTATATTGCATCTATCTAGAGGCCTTACTAAGGTTATTTGGTGCAGTTGGCCTTGAGTTTTGTTCAGTGAAACTGTTGCTTGTAATGTATCCTAAATATGTTGTCCTGCCCCTTAACAGTCTTTTAATGAGAAGCTATAAATACACTATAAATACAGCAAAAATTTACAGATAATATGGAGACCATGAGTTATGTTACTGTCGGTTGAAAAGTTGGCTGTGCAATGCTGTTGTCCATGAAAATGTAATGTTATGAAGGGGAACAGCTGATTTCTGAGGTACAGGTGGAGTGACAGGTTTGTCTGTCATGTCTCAGTCCTTTCCATGGTATTGGCAGAGAAATCTTGTGCCTCTGCCTGAGGTCAGAAACCTAAGAAGGGATCCCACATCATGTTGTAGAATGGTATTTGCTGCAATGAGCTTTAAAATATCTGTATTTCTCATACTGATTATTAAGCTAAAACTGCTTTACAGTAACAGTTCTGAGAACGATTAAGATTGTTTTGGGTTAAAATACTGTTTATTTATGGCTTTTGTTTGGAAGGGGTTGGTTTTTTGCCTCTTTAAAACTGTCCAATTCTACTTGCTAAGCTTCTTCCTGCAGAAGTGTTGCATTGCAAGTGTGACTTCTAATTGTGCATTAAAGTTCTGTGTTCGTCTCGGAATGTTGTAGTACCCAGCTCTTTTCTTCAGAGATCTCTCAGGTCTTTACCCAGCAGAACTTAGCTAGCGAGTGGTGCTCGGTCTTCTTTAAATTAAGAGGGTTGTGTTGTGAAAATGTATTTTTGCCCACCCCAGATTTTCTGATTGCTGCTTATAGTTGATGCAGCTAATGGTTCCTCTGTGTAACCTTCATCCTACCTCGGTCCCAGGTGGCTCCAGCAATGTTCACAGAAGTTGCCGTTGTGTGAAAGTTTAACTTTCATCGGTTGACTTGCTGCAGCCTCATCTGGTGACCCAGAGGATTCTCAGGGTATTGCAAGGAACATTTAAAGTGAACTGTATCCCAACCATGTCACAGTGGTGGGTGGGGGAAGGGGAGAAGATCTGCGAGAAGGGAGGCGAGTGTCTCAACTGAAGTAGCAGTGAGAATCTGTGTTTGGGTGCTGAAAGGATCAGCAGTTTTTCTGTATTAATTTTTAATCAGTAGTCGTGTTATTTGAAGCAGTAGTAGTGTTATATAGTCTTCAGAACATAAAGGGAGGAAACATAAAGTTACATAACTGATGTGGTAAGTCTACGGGGCTTTGTTGATTTTAAGATCTGTGAAGCCTGATAGTATTTAAGTTGTGCAACGAATTGGATTTGCCTCTCCTTTGCTTGCTAAAATACATTGAAAATCAGCACAGACTATGGATATACGTTCTCATTCATGTTTATCGTTGCCCCTTCTACCAGGATGTTTATTTTTATTGGAATTGCCATAGGCAGAAGCTACCAGTTCTATAAAAAGGGAGTTTTAGAATCCACAGACGTTCTCTATAAAAATAGCTCTTATGTGTGGAAGTAGTTTTTTCCTGCTATTCTGTAACTGATGAGAGAAGGCCATCTAGTGGCTGCTGGATAATCAAGCCCTACTGTGTTTTGAAATGGCCAAAGAGCTCTTCTGAAAAGCTCTTCAAATAGAAAACTTATTTTGTTGTATCTGATTTCGAGGGAGTTGTGTTAAGTACTATAGTTTTTGAAATAAATGTAACTTGAAACGTTTTTACTTTTGTTTTTAAGGAGTTCATCTCTACTACGTTGGTGGGGAAGTCTATGCTGAGTGTTTAAGTGATAGCAGCATATTTGTACAGAGCAGGAACTGCAACTACCACCATGGCTTTCATCCCACAACTGTATGCAAGATTCCCAGTGGGTGCAGTCTGAAAATTTTCAACAATCAGGAGTTTGCTCAGCTTTTAGCTCAGTCTGTCAACCATGGATTCGAAGCAGTATATGAGCTCACCAAAATGTGCACCATTCGCATGAGTTTTGTCAAGGTAAACTGATTGGCATTTAAATTGATGGTTGATTTGGGTATTCAGCAGTAATTACAATAGCACTGTAGTGGTGTAGCAAAGCTATTGTGACCAGATGTTGTTCTTTTTGATGATATGTGTGTTGAAAATGGTTAATTTGGTGAGAGAGACATGGATACAAGTAGGGAAAAGCAACAATTGCTGTACTGAATGCTGACTATGTGCTTAGTTACTTTAGTCTTCAGAACAGGTTCACTGTGGTTGCTGTCATTTTATTAAAGGGGATTTCAGCTCATGCTCTGAATTTGAAGGAGCAAAGTGAACCACAAGACCACCCAAAGAATATTAGTAGAAAAGAACATAAGTGATTGAAGGAAAAATTGTAATTCCTTCACAGAGATTATTAAAAAAAAAATAATTATGGAAAAAAATACATGATTTGAATTGATGACATCAGACTGTGCTGCTGTTCTCCCAGCAGTGTTTTCTCAGCATTGTGTAATCAAGATACTGTCCTTTTCAGATTTAGCATAGAGTCTAGACTGGGGCCTTCCAAGGTTTTTTTTACACCTGGTCCAAAGATGGCTTGTTTTTTTTGTCAATTATGAAAAATCCTGCTCAGTGTGACAGTGCCAAGGGTAGGGAGCAAGAGGGAGACACGGAAAAAGGACATGGCCACAGCCAGGGGTCATTCTGCAGTCAGCAGTGTGTTCCACAGAGGAGCTCCTGGTGTATTTCCAAGCCTGTAGCACACCAGACTTGCTTCAGGCTTCCAGGTGCAGCTTCCCTCCCACTCCTTCCCTACCTCAGGTTCTTTTCCTTTAGATAAGAACTGTTCCTAGATTGTGAGTTACCTTCAGATAAGGATCTTAGGACATGGTTTCCTGCTTCTTGTTAGTACAGTTATTTTGGAAGACAAGCATGTTCTGAACTTGACCGATAACTCTGTTCATGTTTGTAGGGCTGGGGAGCTGAATATCACCGACAAGATGTCACGAGCACCCCATGCTGGATAGAAATTCATCTTCATGGGCCCCTCCAGTGGCTGGATAAAGTACTTACACAAATGGGTTCTCCTCTTAATCCCATCTCATCTGTTTCATAGTGCTGAAATTCTACCTTCAGCCTTATTTTTAGTGAACTTATTCTAATTCTAGAGAAACTTCCAGAGTGGATACTGTGAGCTATATGGAGAATGGATCTTATGGTTTAATATTTTTTTTTTAAATCCCTTTGTGACCAATTCCATTGTGTATAGCTAATCAGTTTTACATTTCAATTTGTTCTTGTGATGCTTAAGTGACAGTTGAGCCCTAAGGGAAAAAAAGTCTATTGAAAAATTCAAAACACTTTTCCCCTCCTTGGAGTAGACCTTAAACAGGCAAATGTCTTAACTGGAAAATTTTCTTCTTTTTAGTCCAATAGGGACAAGAATTATAAGAACTGACTTCAGAAAATAAATACATATCATAGTTTGGGATTTTTTTTAACGTTTATGGAACTGTTTGAACATGTGCAGCTCCAGCTTGCAAGCTGTATTTTTAGCATAGTTGTTTAACATCTGTAGGTTGGCATCTGTCATAAGCAAAATTAGACTTTATTACAGCTAATTTGCCTCAGATGGAACAATGTGATTTTTTTTAAGTGTACACATGAAATCTACTTTTTACAAATATTGGAGTGGTGTAAAAACACTTGTATTGTCTATTGGAAAATGCTGTCATAAACACACTGTATATTAATGCAGAATAGCAGTTCTTAGCTTTTTCCCACTTCAGTTTTGTAATATTTCTGTTAACCACCGTTTTAAATAGTAATTGATACAAGATAAACATCTTGCACGTTTCTGGAGTAGTAACTCTTGTTTTGCTTTGATTTACATTCATGCCGTTTGGATTTGGTTGCCAAGGCTGTTTTCTTTTTAGGTACCCTTCTCTATTTTAACATAAACACTACTATTTGTAAATGGCAGTGCTTTCTACTTTTTGGAAGGAATAAGGTTTTTTTTGTCTTCTTTTTGGTGTTCTATCTGTTTATTTTACCTGTCTGGAATTGATCTGTGTTAGGCCTTTTGAATCTCTCAGTAGACATTAACGCAGTATTAGTGATTACACTGTATTTAATTCACTTTCAGTATGAGTTTGAGTCTCTTGGAAGACTGTGAGTGGCTTAGCAAGTTAGTAACTGAATGCAGAAGCTTTTACTTCAGATCATGCAATTTAATGCAGACTAGTGGGTAATGACCAAAAGTAATCACTTCTTTGTAGCCTACATGAAACTGGTCTTGATCCTGTCCCTGATGCCATGTGTTCAATCAGAACTCTCATAGCTGTAGTTGGCAGCATTATGGGATTGAAGGACTGCATTGATATGATGATGAAATTTCTCTCACACATGTAAAGAATCCTGTTGCCTGTGCTGTTGTATTATTTGGTAGAGAATTTAAACACTGTACTAAACACTAAAAGAAATCATTTAAATAGTGTATGCATATTTTTCCCCTTTAGATAATAAAAAGGAGGCTGAAAGAAATATTCTCAGAGAATTAGAAGTGAAATATATACAAATTTATTTGCATGCAGAAAAAGACCTATTGTATTTTTTAACTTTACACCCTCCTTTTTCTTTCCCAAACACCTTTTCAGAAGAGAGTTCAGTGTTTGGGGGAGAGGCTGAAAACTCTAAAATGCAAATACTGATTAAAAGATGTGTTGCAGTTAATTACTGCAATCCTGAGACACTGATTGCTTACACAAGTTCCTGTGTCTTCTATTGAATGACAGTTTCTGCTCAAATATGGAAATCATGCATCATATGGTACCTAAGAAACAAATGATCTTAAAGGAATAAAATTGTTTACGTGTTATTAAAATGTTTCTTATCAAATGCCTTAAAGGAATAAACTGTAACACTTCTGCAGAATCCTAATGTTCCCTTGTACAGGAATTCTGTATTTTGTGGTTTGGTTTTTTTTATTGTTTGGGGGGGAGGCAGGTTTTAAGCAGTTTCTCAAGTGCTTTTAAAAAACAAACAGGTGCATCTTCAGGAGAAGGGGAATGTTGTTTGCCACTCACCTGTGGGGTCTTCTCTTTCATCCTTTGGAACTGCAACCCACAGATGGTTCTTTTGATCGAGTAAGATGCCAAGTCAGTTGGCCACAGGATCAGGCTTCTCTTTTCTCCTCGGGCTTGACTTTTGTTGGATTGCTGAATATGTATATTTGACACTACAGGATTTTTTTTTCTTGACTAGTTTTTATCATAAATGTAATGGCACATTGAATTAAGGAAAGATCTCAGTTGTAGGTACAAGATTTTCCTTTATGCAAAATGTTTTTCACCTGGCTTCATCTCCGTTCACGTGTATGTTTAGATATGACCAGCTAAATGACTCAAGAATGGGTGCTGAAGTGGGTGTTCGTGAGCCAGAGCTGGTGCTTAGTATTGTGGTTAGATTGGCTACCCATGCACTGAACCATAATTTCTGCAATAATATCCAGTTAACCCTCTTCTGATGCTGTCATTAAGTACTAAAGTACTCTGGCACTTTTCTGCTTGTGTACATATTCTTGAACTGTACTATATGCAGTGCTGGGGATATCCTTGTGACTGCTGGTTTTGCCAGGGTGGGCTTGCAGGAGCAGACCCAGTGAGATTTGTCTGTGTTCTACTTCTCTGTGCCTTTTAAGTAGGAGTTTTTGAGAGCTTTCTAGTTAGCAAATTCTGTGTGCTGCTGGTTCATGGTGTTCCTGATCACGTTTAGTTCATCTATGCTGCTGATACACAATTCAGATATCAATGCGTGGAGGGATTGGATGGGAACTGTGAGCCCCTAACTGTGATTTCAGTGTAGCCATAGCAGATGGTGCTGTTTATGTTTGTAGAAGTCACTTCTTGATCTAGATGGAGGGATGGAGAAACTGAATCAGCCAGTAATGTGGTAGTGGAAGATGGAACCTTCCCCATGTAGACCAGCTTAGACTGAATGTTACTCTTCATTGAAAACTATTTTGGCTTTTGTAGTGTATTTTCTTCTTTTGAGGCATCTTTCTACTTTGCACCAACCACAGCATTAGCTGACAGCTTTGGCAGTACCAGCAAGGAGCCTAGAGCAGGCATACACTGAAGTTCTTGCTGGGTTTGCTTTTATAGTCACTAAGGTAAGGTAGTAAGCTTGGGTATTCCTCCCTGGAGGACTTCAGTCTTGCTGGCAGTCAATTCAGTGCCTTGTGGAAGTATTAACGTTCATTTCATTGCATTAGGCATGAAGTAGTTTGTCCATGAAGGGATGACATTGGGGCATAGTATCTGTAGGACCAAAACAAAGCTTTCTAGGATGACTGACATATCTAACAGAAAAGCCTGTGAGTCAGATGAATGATGAAACAAACTCATATGGTTTGATTCAGTATCAAATTGTTTAAAATATTGGAATTATTTTGAGGTTAGATTGAAGCTGTGATTCCCCCCACACACACAGTATCACAGTGTGAAAGTTGTCACTTTTTGGGCAGATCCTCTTGCAGTGAAAGTCAAGAGAACAATAAAAAGAATCAGGCTTTCTCCCTAGTTTGAAGTAATTTTTGTCAGGATGTTGTTTTAGTTGTCCAAAGTTGTTGCTAGTGTTCTTTAGGAAAAAAACAATCAAACCAAACCAAAACATTGAGGAAATGTTTTGCTTCAAAAGATAAAGGTGACTAACTTCTTCTTGTAGTTGTGAAGTTTCTGTTTAGGAAGGTAACCCATTCTGAATTCAAATCAATAGACCAAACCATCAGATTACAACATAATGTTGCTTTATTGTGCTGCTCCATAAATCTGCTTCTGTGTTTGTTGCAAGCATAACCTTTATGCTTTTGTTTACATTGTAGGAAACACAGTTCTAGCAACAAGGTTTTTTTTCATTTATCTCTAAACATCTTTTTATTTTGTTAATTTTTAAATTACTAGGTTTTGCTATGTTATGTTTTTAAAGATATTTTTTGCATACTGCTGCTCATATTTCAATAAACAAATCAAAAAAACCCACAGATTTTTCTTATTTCCTTTAACTCAGAATGTCTCAAATATTTCTTTTGAAGGGTTGATTTATGACTTCTTGTAACTCTCACTGCTGATGCCTTACCAGGTACATCTTCCTCCTTATACAAACGTTAACTTGTAATTTAAAACCTACTTTCCTGTAGCTTTTTGATAACACACAAGCTGCAGTGCTCCCAGAAGGAGAAGCTAAATTATTATTTCAGTAGCTTAAGAGTTCTTTTTTGTAGAATGCAGCCAGCCAAAATGGTATAAATTTGTTGGTATTTATTAGTATTTTTAAATTTATATTACAGAAAAATGTACCTCAGTAAGACTTCAGCAACACTTGGATTATTTTGGGGGCGGGTGGAGGTTTTTTTTTTTTACCATTGTGGCTGACCGTCTTGTTTTTAAACAACCCTCATCTGTGTCTGAATGTGCAGAGCTCCAAACTGCTGAGCCACAGCCTTTGCATTGAGATGAGGGCTGTTTGAATAGCTCTTAAAGTCAAGTACTGTTCCAGTAAAATGGAAATTTAGGAGAAGTTTAATGAGTTTTCATTTTACTGCCTATTAGTCTTTTTTTTTTTTTTTTAAGAGTGAGGGGAAGAAAACATATTTAGCAAGATAGTACAGAAATAGATGTTGAAATACTGGCTGGTGGTGGGCACAAATTATAAGAAATCTGGTTTTGACAGGATGAGTACAAAAATACCAAATCCCAATTCCGTAGGGGTACCCATGTAAGAAGTACAAAAAGGACACTCGGTGATCACACTGGCTCTAGTCCTTTAAGTCTCAAGCACTTTATCTCCTCATTTAGGATTTAGTGCAAGTTACCTTCTTATGTGTGCTCTGAGGCTTTGTGAAAAGTCCCAAAGTACCTGTGAATTGCCAACCACTCAGTGAAATGTAAATGTTTTAAATACTACACCATCTTAATGCTCAATTAGCATTGGCAAGAGAGTTGGTTTATTGCTGCTGAGTGTTTGGATTAGCACTTTGGGTTGGTAACATTCAACGTGCATGATTGTTCCCTTTAATTTTGGGTGTCTGTGCACAAACTGAAGTAAAGAAGTGTCATCCTCCTCATTTTTATCATATCGGTGCAGCAAGGGTGGTTTTCTGTAGCTCTGTACTGTGAGTTCTCGCTCCAACCATTCCCTAACTGATAGTGAAGCAGAAGAAAGCTGCCTGCTGGAGAGGGACTTACCTGGCCTGAGAAACCAGGCCTGTGCAAGCTACAGAGTGGAGGCACCAGACTTCTGCGGGCTGTTTGACATCTGTCCCCAGGCTTCCTGTTGTGCTGTGAGGACAGCAAAAATCAAAGCAGAAACTAAATTCTAAATACTAATCTCCAGAGAGTGGGGAGCCCTGCCCTTTTTCCTTGCCCTGTGTTTCTGTATTTAGCAGTACATAAAACCATCCTGAGAGCTCTCCAAAGTCTAGCACAGCTGAAGAACTAGACCTCAAGACACCAAGTAAGAAGCCTGTAGCTGTTGGAGTTCTAGTGGCACACGCACATTAAGAGAGGGAGTAAAGTAAAAGTAAAAGACAACTTGGCCTGAG